TTTTGACCCTGGTACTTGTTGATGATATCCCTTGCCTTGAGACACTTTTCGATGGCGTACTTGTGGAGTACAAGATTTTCGGCAGCAGGATCAGAGAATTCATCAGAGTCCACCTCGCTCAAGTTTTTTGCGTAAGAACCTGCATCAGATTCAACATCAGTCAGATGAACAGAGGAGGTAAAGCAGTTGTATTCATTAAGAAGACATTTAGCAGAATTATTAGAGTAGTTAGAGTTCTCAGTCTTTTCAGATTCTCCCTCCTCGTCGTCACTGGAATCAGACCATGTAGCCTTGAATGTTTTATTCTTCTTCTTGAAATTAGGACATTCTTTTTGGAAGTGGCCGAATCCTTTGTATTCACGGCACTGGTCTTTTTCTACTCCTTGGTTAGAATTCTGAAACTTGTTCAGTTGCATGCTAGATCGCTTTTCTCCAAAATGTTGAATTTGGTTCCTACCACCTTCAAGGGACCTGTTGCCCTGGAATCTTTTTTTCTGAAATTTCTTCAACTTGGAGACATTCTTAGTGAGCACGGTAAGAGCCTTTGTGATTTCATCAGGATCAAAAGATTCTTCATCGGATTCGTCATCCTCAGTAACTGTAGTACGAACCTTGGCCTTTAAAGTTAGCCCTTTCCCTTTGCTTATCCTCATAAAGTCAAAACCATGGTTGATTTCAAATGTGCGCAGTTCGCTGAGAAGATCATCGATGCCAAGTTTCTGAATCCTCTGAAAACTTTCTAGTGCAGTAATTTTGATTCCAAATCTGTCCGGTAGAGTTCTCATCAGTTTCTGAACTTGTCTAGCTTCAGGAACCGGCTCACCAAGCATTGCACTTTGGTTAACCAGGTCACATAACCGAGCATAATACATGTCAATGGTTTCATCCTCCCTCATACGGATCTCATCGAGCTCAGTTGAGACTCTTTGGAGCTTTGACGTTTTAACCGCATTCGTGCCTTCAAATTGTCTCTCCAAGATCCTCCAAGCTTCTTGAGCAGTCGTGCACTGAATTATTATCTTGTGCCGGGTGGGATCTACAGCAGACATGATAGCATATAAAGCTCGAAAATTGGCCTTTTCTGCTTGCTTTTCATCGTCGGTCCAGATGCTCCTTGGTTTTTCAACCAGCACTTTGGTAGTTGACGACTTCCCATCCGATGACTCACCACCCTTAGTCTCAGCAGGAACTTTTTCTTGGAGTGGTAAAGTCCAACCATTCTCAACAGCCTGCCATGTGCCTTTACCAAGAGATCGAAGGAAGATCACCATCATGGATTTCCAGTACGAGTAGTTGGAACCATCAAGAAACGGAGGGCGCGTAACAGACATCCCATCATGACTCATGGTGCCCGATACACAGTCCCAAAGATCTTTATCGCGTAGTTAGAACAGGAACACTGCTCTGGTGCCAATTGAAACGTATAATTATCACGGAGTGCGCTTATTGGTGGTACGAACTGAATTAAGAACTGAATAATGCGGAAGCAATAAACCGAAGATTAAAAACTCTTCAGGGAAGTATCCCACTTCCCCTCAGAACTCTTTCATTGATAGATCAAATATGAACATAGCTTGGACTTACAAAGACTCGAACTCCCTTCAAGTCTAGCCAACACTACTCAGATCCTATCAACTATTTCTCCGGCCACGTCCCGTGGACTTTTTATTTTACACTTACTCCCTAAGTGTAAAAGTAAAAGATAGTTTGAAGAAACAAAGAAATCCAAAACAAAACAGCTTCAGTCCTTGAGTTTATAAGAACTCTTGTACTGAACTGTGTACAACTAAATAGAACATAAATGTGAAGCTCGAGTATTGCTCTAAAAATCTCTCTAATCTCAGCAGCCGCAATAAGAGCTTCCTCTAGGGTATTTATACAAACTCCTTAGGGTTGGAGTCTTCTTCAAGGCATAGGACTCTTAAGCTTGATTTCTTTCCAAAGTTATAGCTTATCTTAGGTAAGTGAATCTTCTATTCTCTCTCATAGATCTCCTCATTATGCACGCCTCTTCTCTTTTTATCTCCTTCACGTCTGATTTCCTACAAGATAAAATACCATAATAAGATCCACAATGTCTTATATATGGAATACAAAATAATCTTAATTAAGGAAATAAAATAATTCGAGATCTTCCCTTTTTCTGTGGTTCCTGATGCTTGTTCGAACTATCGAACTAATGCCAAATTAAAAATATCTTTCACAGTGAATATATCATATGTATATGTTGAGTATATCTTATGTATATAAGTCTGATCGTGAAACAAACAAGAAATACGAAAAGATAAAATTACCAAGTTATTTCGTATATTTTCCGAACTTATATATTTTATGTATATATTATGTATACAGAAAAAACACGAGAAAAAGAACATCATATACGTTTAATATACGCTATTAACACGATGCGCAACTTAAAAATAAACAAAAAACAGTTCCACCTGCACAAAAATACCTGATGGCAAAATATGTATTTAGGATTATGAGATTTGTAAATAGTTATACACGCTAAAGTCATTTGAAATTCAAACTAGTTATGTTTCCTATTTCAACTGAACAAACTCATTATTAGGGTATGTTGACTTACCATGTGTTATATATATATAATTTCTTTTTTTTTTATTTTTGAAAATCCGTCAATTAGTATGCCAACGATTAGGTAGGGACGCATTATCTTTTTTCAGGGATGATAATTGCAATCTTAGCATATTGTCAATTAATTCCCAATGATTATGTAGGGATGCAATACAAGATTTGACCATGGCATGTTTACAATTATTTTCATATCGTACAGTATAGATAAAATTTCGTCTATCTACGTACTAGTTAGAGGGAATATTGATTGATATTTATTTGATCAGAATTTAATTATGGAAAACATTAGCATGATAGAATTGAGAAAAAAAATGGAAAGAAATAATAACTAAATAGTTAATAAAAGGAATCTAATGACCATGTGTCAGAGCCGTCTGTGACATCGGAAAGGTGGGATTTCAAGACAAGGTAGTTTGTGACGGTTCTTGCTTTCACGTTGAAAGAGTCGGTCTTGAAAACCGAAGTATTGATAGGAAGCTAAAAAGCGCTCTTTCCAAGAAAATTCGTAGCGTGTAATTCACAAACTAGTTAACTTGCATGTGAACTTTGCATATGTGACAATACAAAGTACATATTTTCGCCATATAAACATGTCATTTAGACTCGACAAGTTTTGATTTGAATTAATATGTATGGTAACATTTTAGCAAATGTTCTTAAACAACTCTGCACTTGAGTTTCACCACCAAAAGTAATATTTTCTATTTATTCTTCATTATCTAAACAAAATGTACGTCATGAAAAATTAATTACATGAATAATTAAAATTAATTACATGAATAATTATTTATCTTATCAATACTTATTTATATTTTGTTATTTACATATTATCAACTAATTGTAACTGGTCTGCTGCAACATAAATGGTTTTATCCAGATGCCTTTTGGCATTTATTTAGTTTATTTCCCCAATCACATAAATGGTTTTATCCAGATGCCTTTTGGCATTTATTTAGTTTATTTCCCCAATCATTTTATATAGTTCATGAAAAGAAAACAAGAGAGAGACGAGGGGGACGAGACGTTAATGTAGTTTTAACCAATTTTTATTATTTTCAAGAAAAATATTTACAATAGAAGAAATACTTAAACTTTAATCAGAATAAGTAGGCAAGTAATACCCTGCCACAAGTCTATTGCATTACTGAAGATATTAGCAAAAGGTAACATAGCTTATAGAGTTCAACATAAGTAGATAACAATAACCACTTCTACACTAATACCACAAGGTTGTTCACAAAACCTAGGAGGATTCAACACCAAAACAGGCTCAAATGAAGTAAACCCGACATCTGTCAGATGCCCGCTCATACGATGCAATCCTCTGGAGAGCCTGGAATTGGGCCTTTAAATAATCAGGGGTTTTAAGCTTAAAATCAGGGCAAGTAGACAATACCACCCTCTCCAGGCAGGGGCGTAGCCAGGATTAAATGTTTACCTGGGCTATAACTATTCTACTAAAATATGACAATATCACAAATAGACATCTTCAAGGTTTGTAATGAACCACTAAACACGCGGATCCAACCATCAATCAATAGTTCGGTTAACCGTTGGCAGTAGTATCTATTACGATTTGATAGTCCGGTTACAGATTGAAAAATGTCTAAACCGCCTTAAAGGTGGTTATTGAATAGAAGAGGAAAAAACTGAAAATTTTGGGGAAGGAAAAAAAAAATCAAAGGATTTCTCAAAGTTCAGAAAAATAAATGCTGGAAAACTATCTCAACAATTTATTTTTTTTATTTTTTTTTTTTCAAAAATTACGGCTTTGTAAAAATTTGGTAGTTTCTAAAGAATTATTCAATTTTTTACATTACAATAATAATGGAAAACTGGCAACTTGAATAAAAACAAGCAATTCCAACCAGACCGTAACAATAGTCATCGATTCAACAACTCCGACGTGGCAATAAGTAGTTACTGTTACTATTTTAAATATTTAACCAACTGTAATCGATTGTTTCGTAACCGAGAACATGTCTAATTAATAAAATATATATTTACGTTATGAAATGTCATGCATTTGATCATAAATATTTATATTTCATCAATTTGAATCAAACAAATAGTATTGGTATTTGAATGAGTGCAATAGAAAAATTTAAAATTAAAAACATCATAAGAAAAAAACCGTAATCTACTGGTAAAAAAATTGTTTATATTTCAACTTTCCAACACATAAATAATAAAATACAAGTATTTTTACTTACATGTCATAACCAAAAATTTAAAGACGCTAGCTTGAAATGAAAAAATATGCTTTAATAGCTTACTTAGAATTGTTTACGGGTCTCAATATGCAATATTTGACCAGGCTAATGACTTAAAAATAAAACAAGAATTGAAAAAAAAAAATGAGAATTTTATATATAATGTTGTGGTTGTTTCAAAGTCAGCCTGGGCTACAGCCCGGGTAACATGACAAGTGCCTCCGCCCCTGTCTCCAGGACTTTAGCATTCCTCAAAACATAACCAACCATCTGAAACTCTTGCTTTGTACACATAAAACGTAGTAATCTGATAGATCTCAGACTTGACAACAAACACGAAGGCACTTCATGGGGCTCTATCCACCATTTCGAACAATTATCCAACTGAGGATGACACAATAAAAGGTTAAGCCAGAACAAACAAATAGTAGAGAGGAAGAACAGGTTATCTGCTGGTAAAAACAAGTAATATGAAAGACGTACGGTATGGACTCTAAGCTTCTTGAGATTATCAGCATTTTCAAGAAAATATGTTATAAAGCGCCAATTAGTATTCAGTGTGACTTCGAACAAATTAGGAAACTTGACCGGCACAGCAGAGAATACATTCTCAGAAAGCTGCAAGAGCAATAAGCATTCATTACCAGATGTATGAATAAACAGTAACGAAAATAATTAAAAAAAAAAAAATCAACCACTTGCCTCAATCAACCCAGTTGCCAATTGCAAGCGCGTCACGTAACAGAGGCTGCCCAAAAATGGTAGCAGAGATTGCAAACAAGGCATAACCCGTCGAGGCGTACAACCATGGTGCAACTTGACATCCGCAGCAGTTAAGGATGGCATCAAATTGAATGAGACATCTTTGGATAAATTATCAAATATCCAAAGGAATCTAAGTGCCGGAGCATCTATCTTCAGCCTATACCTCTCTCTGTGATATGAATCCCAGAAAGTTGTATTAATGTAAAGCCTAATCAGAGTGGGTGAAGATATGCAATGATAAATACACGGAGGCACGTTTTCTGACACCAAGTTCAACTCCTCAAGCACCGGGCAACCAGACAGCAAGTTAGTGAGGCATCCAAACTCAGACTCATAACTAACATCAAGAATATGAAGCTTCTTAAGAGCAGGCAGACGCACGAAGCCCAACATGGGGATTGGGCCGCATTGAAAGAGAATTAAATCCACAAGGGAGTCGTAGGTGAAGATGCAAAGGGGCAGCCTGACTATATTATAGATACTGAGATAAATATGCTTTACGTTGCGTACAATGGCAGTGGTAATGCACGTCTCGAGCTGATACTCCCCACCACAATTTTCGTTGTAAGTGAGTCGAAAATTATTCATGCCCTGCACTTTGTACTGGAGCATCACTCTGTAGATGATGTCCGAGAATCTCTTGCCCCCATCTAATTCTAGATCAGTATGGCAATCAAACTCGATATCAGGGACGTGTGCCCACAAATGCCTCCATCTTCTTGATAAGATGCTGGTCTGCACGGATCTCTTGGTGGGGAGAAAGGAGAGAATATGGTGGAGGATGGAATCCGGCAGGCTGCTCAGCCTATCAATTGAGTCCATGCATTGGTTCCCTAGTATAACCTTCAAGCGCTTTGTGGTCGATGGCGCTTCTTTCTCCATAATAGTACGAGTTTCTAGTCACAGAAAACAACAGACTACGGCTAACAAAGACTAAGATAAAGCAGGTGGGAAAACCTTGAAAAACAAGTGGGATAGACTGTATGTGGGCTGTCTATTACAATAACCGCTGCTGTAATTAAAAGGGTTTACAAGGACGCAAACAAGGATGATTAATTGTTGAAAGGAATCGGATAAAAAAGAGGTTTTTACCTGGATTTTCTAGCCGCTAATATCTTCCCAACCGGCGCAAGGTGTAAGGACAACAGAGGGGGGCGAGTGAGATGGCCGGCGGCGGCGGGCGGAATTGGCGGCTAGGGTTTTAGTTTGGAAGGGGCGATTGTTGGCGGACTTAGCCACCGTGAAGCTCCAGCATGGCTGAAGGTTGAAAATCACGCGAGGGGAGTCGATCAACGGGACTGGCGGTGGTAATGTATTCAGTCTTGGTGGAGGGCAGCTGAAGGGTTGTGTTGTTTGGCTGTGGCATGGAAGCCCCGTGTGTAGTAAGAAAGAGGAGAGGGTGAATGGGAAAATGGAAGCGACAAAAGAAAATTAATTGTGGATTTGTTATAAATATATTAATATGGACATTACTAATAAATAATTGGGCCTGAAGTCCA